ATCACAGTTTTTTTAATGGGACCTCCTCCATCCCCCCCACACAAACATATTTTTGGGTAAAAGATTTCTTGCAACCCCATCCACAACCAGTTCAGGTTCATAGCAGAAGTAACCACAGATAGTCCTCAACATACAATCGTAAAGGAACCTGCCCTTATAGTCGTATGTCATAAAACAAGACTGAACTAATTTTACAACCTCTTTTGTAGCAGTCATTAAGAAATGAAATCGTTAAGAAACCAATTGTAAGTCAAGGACAACTTGTATTTCCAAATATCACAAAACCAGCATAAGGCCCTCTGCTTCCAATAGCCCAGCCAATTCTCTCTTTTTACTGAGGTCTCAGAAAGGTTGAGGAAAAAAGAGACTCTTTTCCTCCCACTTCAGGAGATTACAATTATAGAGCGAACTACAGTACCAGACCAAAGTAGAAATCACAACTCAGCAAGATACACTCTATGTATGGAAACTGCAGCTGCTATGGAAAGTAGCAATCATTTGGCTGAGACAGCAGGATGAAGAATATCATTTCTGCATTGTATTGGTTCAGAATTTCATTAGTGCTTTTCCCCCTTTGTGGAAGAAATCAAGGCCAGTACATTCATCTGTTCAGTCAGGGAACATGTGGAATTCTTCCGGGTTGAATCTGAAGTCCCAAATATTCAGAAATATGTTTTCAGTGCTGAGTTGGAATTTTTTTTTTTTTTCAAACAGGCTACATTCCCAGGTGCCTCCATTGCTGGGCATAGTTGTGGCTTTTTTTTATTTCACTGATGCAGAAGGACAGAGATTTTTCAGATGTTGGGTATCAGTTTTAAATGATTAGGGATGAAATAAATCATCATCTCATAATTTTTTCTGTTTGATTTTAATTTTATGAATTCAAGTCAATGTTTGACTCCTGGTGACGGCCTGGACAAGTCCCTGCAGTCTTCTTTGCAAAATTTTCAGAAGTGCTTTGCCAGTGCCTCCTTCCTGAGAGAGAGTGACTGGCTCAAGATTACTCTGGTGGGTTGGTGCCGATGATGGGACTCACAGTCTCCTGGTTTCTCACTTGGTGCCTCAAACCGTTATGTTAAGCTGGTCCTCCATATTTTTATGAAGGTATATTTATCATCAGGAAATTTGTTTATCCGCAGAGCCTTGATGGATTAGAAATCATAAGAGGGTCTTCACCAAAGTTATGGCTTTCATATAAGATAGACATTCTTTGTATTATCTTTGTCTTTTTAAACTCCTTCACCCTAATTTCTTAGAGCCAAAACAGTAGATATTTGGAACTAGTGGCCATGCTGTCAAGGTATTCTGGAAGATGCACTCATGATACATCTGAAGGACAATTGGTTGGAAGAGTATGTTCCCCCTGGACGGAATCAGTTTTGTGCTTTCTGATGCCATGATAAGCAGCTGAGCCCATTTTATTTCCAGCTCAGTTACAGCACAGCCAAAAATGTTGCAAGTCTGATATTTCAGCCAAAACACTGTAGCTCCACAAAACTTAAAAATAGACCATTTTCTTGCCTCCCAGGAATCTTCTTTCCCCTCTTCCTCCCCTAATTGAGATTTAGCCAAGGTGGTATTCTAACAAGGCACTGACATTTCACTATTCTTTTAAACTGTGGGGGGTGAAGGTATCAAGATAAATTTCCCTCATTTTAGAACTACAGTGACTATAAAACATTAAAGAACAGCAGAGATTTAGATGGGACTGTTGCCACTCTTTAATGGTATCTCACTGGTCAGCTGGAGGATTCATGTGCAATTCCCAAATTTTCAAACTAGGTACAGTGGGGAACATAGTAGGTCTGTTTGAAAGTTGGTTGGCTAATTTTGGGCTAGTCACTGTCTCTCAGTCCAACCCATTTCACAGGATGTTGTTATGGGAAAATTATAGAGGCAAGATAACAAACATAATAAATAAATATTGTCTACCAGCTCTTCATTAATGTAATAAATATGAATTGGTTTCTCTAAAGACAAAAAAAATCATGAAATGTTTATGAATGGAATGGGATAACCATGTACTTATTTAATTACAAGATGGGCAAGCTGTGTTCAAATGTCTGATTAATTGTAATAATCTTTCCATAGTCTGCAGCCTCTCTGCCTTCTTATCCTTCCTTTGACTCACAAGGAAAAATACCATGGAAGGTCTACAATTGAGCTTTTCAAATTACAAATATGGGCAGCCAAAGAGACTCCAACATAATGGAAAGATGTGCAACTATAACTATTATAATTGCAAGATTCCTGTTGATTTCTCCAACAATAAAATAAGCTCAAAAACACCACCAATGAAAATTCCAAAGAAATTCTCAAGTACTGGAAAAAAAGTAGAAAACCACATGCCTTCTGAGCATGTGAAAAATATTTCTGAGAAATTGCCAGTCAGGTTCATAAAATCCTAATTCTGCTACAGTTAGAGAGCCCTACGATCATCTACAAACAGAAACCTTCAATGTAAAACCTCTTTCTCATTATCCCCAGTAAGGAGATACAAAATTCTGGCCAGAACTCACTTCATTTAATTTATTTTCTTGCCAGGGCTCCTAGATTGAATTGCACTCTTGCTCACTGAGCTGCTATTTGTCTACTAGAAAATAAAAATTAGGATAGTGATTCAAGAAAGAGGGTAATTGTTGTTTCTGAATCGGAGCAGCATTTGGTCGAATCTGGCCCTGAATTAATTCACTTTCATGTATTGTGAAAGTGGTTTGTTAAATATATTCTTAACCCTGTTGCTCCCCTAACTGGAGAACAGTGCAAAATGTAGTTTAACTCATTTCCCCTAACATTTAGGCTGCACTGCCACCTGGTGATGATGCATGGAACAATTTTCAGCCAGACAATATGGCTAGTTGTTTCTTATGCTCACATTACTAACTTAACAATTGATGTGAACCATTTCTAATTTCCTCTTCTGAGATCTGAGATTTTATTTCACAGTTTTGAGAAGAAATAAAAATCCTTCAGTATCCTTGCATATGATTATGGTCTTCAAGAATAATTGTTTAGATTTAACTTAAGGCTACAAATAATTTCATAGCAAGACTGTACAGTTGCAAGGGTTAATTTTAACAATTTAAATTATCTGTTCTGATATTTAAAGCGTCAGCATTTAAGTACCAAAGATGATCTGATTATACAGCTTCTACTGCCATCTTGTGGTTGGAAGTGGTTAGATGTAGGGAAGTTTATATCAGTTTATTTAAAGAGGAATGCATCTGACTCTACCACAAACCTAATTTGACTCTAAAACACATTCAACATAAAATGGCCTCGTAGAAGTGTAGATTGCACAACCAAAAACTGTTTTCAAAGTTTGTGTTTTGAAGGTGTAGAAGGTGGATAGAAATATGGGAAATACCAAGTCAGACAATTAATCTATCCAGTCTAATATTATGTATTATATCCTTTTTTAATCGTGTGTGCTCCATATATAGTGAAAACACAATTCCCCGAAATACAGCAAGCACCTGTAATTCAATTACCATAGGGAAAAGCCATTTGAAAAGTCTGGTATAGTCAGAATGCAGTAACTCTCTTATCATGAGACAAACCATCTTTCCTGTCACCTGCAAATTGAGATCCTTTTAGCCAGGATACCAAGGATTACAGCTGGGATTTTCTGCATGCAAAGTTGCACCTAACTCCTGAGCTACAGACCTCCCAAATAAATGCACAGTGGTAATGTACAGAGAGTCAATGGGTTAAAATAAATATAATATAGCAAATGGATCTTTCTCACAATCTTGTTAATGTGCATTCCTCCAATTGTTCAGCTGGCAGAAAATCATGGCAGATGCTATTCTGGCTTATTTACAAGCTTGTGAGAGGTTTTATTCTTAGAACTTTACTACAGGACAATTTAACAGCAGAGTTGGTAGATTTCCATGACTTCCTCTCCCACATAGCATCATCCAGTTAGTCAGAAAAACAACCACCTTCTACATAACAGAATAAGAGATTTGGAAGCCTTCTAGTCTAGGAGTAGGCAATCTTGGCTCTTTTATGACTCGTGGACTTCAATTCCCAGAATTCCTGACCCAGCATGGCTCAGCTTGGAAACCTCTCCCTTTTCCCTCAGCATGGCTGGCTCAGGAATTCTGGGAGTTGATGTCCACAAGTCATAAAAGAGCCAAGGTTGCCTACCCCTGTTCTAGTCCAACCCCCTGCCCAGGCAGGAAACCCTAGAACATTGTAGACAAATGGTTGTCCAATCTCTTCTTTAAAACTTCTAGTGTTGGAGCACCCAACTTCTGGTTGTTCACTGATTAATTGTTCTGTCAGGAATTTTCTCCTTAGTTCTAGGTTGCTTCTGTACTTCTACCCTCTCTTCTTAATATGTGGAAAGTTTGGACTTGAACAAGGATGGGTGAGTTTTACTCATATTCATATTGCCCAGAAGACAAGTTGCCTATGCAGTGGTGTTTAGCTTTGATAAACTGTTACTTGGGCTATTGCTGAACACAGATCTATTGGTCTTCTGGAAGTTTTTCAGACTTGTATCCAAATTTAACCCAGCTGATAGGTATATGAGGTAAAGGAAAGAGATTAAATTTCATCCTGGCCCATCCAATTTGTAGGTGAGATTTACTCATCTTCCAATCCCTTGATTTAGTAGTGGATATTAGCAAAACTTTATCACTTTCACCTCAGCTCCCATTGTGTAGGAAGAAAATGACACAGGCTGCAGTGAATGACTGTAATCAGCAGTACATGGATGCACTCCACAGAATATACAACATTGTGTTAGAGTAGGCAAAGTCAAACTGCTCCTCTCCCAAAGTAACAAAAACAGCAGAAAACACAACTGTACAAACTCCTTGTTGGCAGAAGCAACAGAAAATCTGCAATCCCTCATTTAGAACATTTTTCCCAGTTTAAAAAAAAACACTAGCAGCTTTTTTTTTTCAGATAAAACAAGACAATTTTTGAAGACAATTGTTTTAAACAATTTATTTTTAAAGAGAGAAATAAAAAATAATCATACTGTACATCACTAACAGAAGAAAAATGTTAATGAAGAAAGAAAACCTAAAGATTCTGTAGTGACTGAAATTGACTAAATATGACAGACAAAAAAACCCAAATAATTGAAAAAAGATCCATATAATTGCTGTAAATAATATAAAATTAATCCTTAAACTTATCTTTAAATATTGTCAATACAGAAATGTGTCCCAAGTCATCTTCTCATTTTTAGAAGGCAGAGATTTCTCAAAAACAAACTTATATATTGGAGCCTCTTCTTAAAATCAGGAGGGTAAATTACTTTCCAAATATATGAAATCATCCTCTTTGCCATAGCTCAGATTTAGTAAACCAAAGCTTTTCATGAAATAATAAAATCTGTTTTAGTAATATAGTTCAGAATACAATGATGTTCTTAACTATAATATCTTTTCCCATAATTGTAGTAACATAGATAGTAATCTGAAGGCAAAACAAAGATATAAGTAGAAAGACCAAATCATTAATTTTCAAATTTCTTGTAACACCAACATAAAAATATTAATTCCTTTTTAAGCATTTTAGTGTGTCCAATAAACAGAGAATAATATTTCATTATTTAATTTCATTTTTAAATCATATTGTATATTTCTTAGTACTTGGATCCATTGAGTCCCCAAAACAGATATTCTAATGCTTCATGATTCAGACTATACAGGTAGTCCTGGACTTACAACTACAATTGAGCCCAAAATTTATGTTGCTAAGTGAGACAGTTGTTTAGTGAATTTCCTGCCACAGTTGTTAAATGAATCACTGCAATTAATAAGTTAGTTACACTGTTGTTAAGTGAATCTGACTTTCCCTTGACCTCAAAAAGTCACAAAAAATGATCAGGTGACCCCAGGACACTACAACCATCATATATAAGTCATTTGCCAAAGGTCTGATTTTTGATCATGTGGCCATGGTGAGGCTATAACAGTCCTAAGTGTGAAAAACAATCATTATACTTTTTTCAGTGCCATTATAAGTTCAAATGGTCCCTAAATGAATGGTTAAATGTTGAGGACTAACTGTACTAATACAAAACGAAAGAAGCCACTTTATGATGTATGGTGGGTTTTAGTGTGATCCAAGCTATGGTTAGCAGGTTATGCAACAGAATCCAAGATAAGTGTGGAAATTAAAATGTAAAGATTTCAAATCCACTAATTCCAAAAATCACAATCAACAGTTACCTAGGCAAAAAATGAAAGGCTCATTTATTTGCAGGCCAAAAAAATAAAAAAATCAACCCTCATACAGAGCTTCTATTCCCTTCCCGTCTTCTTCACCATCACCACCATCATTGTGCTGACAAAACTGCTACAGGGAAGGACGCATCTTTCAAAGCTAGTGCTCCACTTCCTCCATGCGGGATGACACCACCTTGCCATCCACCAGTTCTTCAATGATAGTCTTCACTCGTCGGCTTACAGAAGGTTCTGCAAGGAGTGATACAAGACACTATTATCAGGGATGGAGGGAGAGAGACAGCATGGGGTATCTAAGAAAGAATGGATAAATCACAAAAGCCTACCTTTCAGGATTGCTATTATATATTCAAATACGTTTCAGAGCCATCAACTGATATTTCAGCTAAATATATGTTTTATTTATTTATACTTCACATTTTTAATTACCGATATCCCTCAAAGAAGTAGTCTTTTTATACCTTTTATGTCTTCAACTTGAACCACTGGGATTTTAAAATGAATAATATTTATTAAGAATCACATTTCATGCAGAGTTTGCTTTACACCAATTCAATCTTGTTGAATATTTATATATCGCATCTTTATTCTACTAGAGCAGAGCTTTTCAACTGGTGGTACGCATATCACCTGTGGTACATTGGCATCTGGCAGGTGGTATGCAACCATCCTAGAAGTGGTATCGGGGGAAGGGAATGAACTGAACCGGCGGCAGCACCACACAAGCCTGAGTGAAAGACAACTGGAGCTGCAGGGCTGTCAAGGCTCAGCAGAAGCGCCAGGATCAGCTCTGAGCTCCAGCTGATTGGCGCTTCTTCTGGACTCAGTGGAAGTGCCCGGATTGGCGCAGTGTTTGGGGGGATGAAACTGTCCCCTTTTCCCCTCCAAGTCACCAGCCAAGCATTTCTGTTGAAAATTTTTCATTGGAATGGGCTGGTTGGTTTTTATTTCCCCCTCCCGTCTGTGGGGTGGTTGCAGCAGGTTTTGGTCACTTCTGTCATGCTGGGTGGTTACCCACGAAGCACATTTTTTTGGGGGGATCCCCACTTCGGTTGCTAAACTTGCTTAACCCTCTTCCTCCTCCTTCTCACTGGAGCCTCCCTTTGTCTGCAACGGTGGGGCAGGAAGATCTCTGCCGGACCAGGGATGATGGGGATCTGCCCTCTGCGGAGTAGGGGCAGGGTTACTATGTTCCCTGTCAATCAGGTTTGATTTTCTTTCTTTGTCTCCCTCCCCCCACACTCCTTCCCTGCCTCCCCTGCTTGTAGCTGCCTCTGTGCCCCTCATTTTTGAGAGTTAGCATTGCTGGAATCTCTTTCTCCTGAGCCCCCTCGTGCTGGGTAACTATTGCCACCCAAGACCTGTTTTAAAGTTAGGGAATCTTTGGGGGATAGCCAACTAACACCCCAACATGCCCCCATGCCCCCAAGTGCAGAAGCTGCACCACCCCCCTCCAAAGCCCCTGCAATCTCCTATCAGCTTCTTTGGGTCAACTAGAAGGAGAGAAGGGGATAGAACAGTGCAAAGATTAAGGTCAGAGAAACAGGCACAAGTTTCCCATTAAAAGTATGGTAATTGGATATACAATTACCACGTATATATACCATGTATATAACCACAATTGAGCCCAAAATTTATGTTGCTAAGTGAGAAATTTATTAAATAAGTTTTGTCCCATTTTATGACTTTTCTTGCCACATTTCTTAAGTGAATCACTGCAGTTGTTAAATTAGCAACATGGTTGTTAAGTGAATCTGGCTTCCCCCATGGACCACTTGTCAGAAGGTCGCACAAGGGGATCATGTGACCCTGGGTCACTGTGAATGTCATAAATATGAATCAGTTGCCAAGCATCTGAATGTAAATCGCAAGACTCTGGGGAAGCTGCAATAGTCATAAGTGTGAAAAATGGTCATAAGACACTTTTTTCAGTGCTGTTGTAACTTTGAACAATCATTAAGCAAGCTGTTGTAAGTCAAGGACCACGTGTACTTTATCACTTTTTTCCTTTTTCCTTTTTTTTTTTTTTTTTTTTTGGTCATCAGGTTTTTGACACCTTGCTAGGCGACTGGTGGTACTTAGATATTGCCATATCCTAAAAGTGGTACAATGCGTGAAAAGGTTAAAAAGCCCTGGAATGAAATCAGTCCAAATATTTACCATCCACAGCCACCATAATCATCCTATTGAATTTCCCCATTAGTATCTCAGTATTCTCAGCCCAGTTGAAAAGAAATACCAGCCTCTTTCCCAAAGAATCTGTTTTATGCAAAAACTACATTGTACAGGTGATAGGCATTACCAGCTATCCAATTGCTGGAAATGACTACAGTCACATATGCAGATCTCTATTATAGCCATCCACTGAAAGTCTTTTGAGAATCAGTCCACTGTGACTTATTCATGTTCAGTCAGTCTTTAGAAGAAATGTTCTCTAGTTCAGACATGTCAAACACAAGGCCCGGGGGCCGGATGTGGCCTGTGAAGTCATCCTGGAAATAGCGAGGGAATGGCCCCTGCTGCCTTGGCCCTGGCCCTGGTCAACTGGGAGCCAATGTACAATTTTGTGGTGGCCATCTATGCTGAAACACATTCAATCTTAGCTCCTTAAGCCCCCCCCCCCCCGCATGGCCTGAGAGGAACAGTGAGGTTCCTCCAGCGGACCATTCCTTGGTACTTGCCCTGGTCCCACTCTGCCAGAGACCCTCAGATCTGTCCCACTCCTGCCCAGGCCTCCACAGGCACCCTTGACGCAAACGATGTAGACCCTGGCCACACCCACTCCATCCACACCCACCCACTGGGCCGCACCCACCCTGGCCACACCCACCTGGCCCCCTGAGGGCAACCACAATGCTGATGCGGCCCTCAATGGAATTGAGTTTGGAATCCCTTATTATTTCATTGAATGAACCACTTCCTCAACATACAATCTGTATCAAAGATAGATACAAATCTTTTGATATATCCCTTGGAAAATTTGCAATGATTTCTGACTATTTTTTACTTAAACACATCATCTTTTTTAATAAAAATAATAATCTGTTCTCATTTAAATTAGGGAAAAAAGGAATTTTAGTGGAGGGTTAAATAAAAAAATTGTAGGGAGTAGTTGTAGTGCTCCAATAAATTTTGTCATCAAAATTTATTCTATATCCATGTCTTTTGCACCCAGTTCTCCTAATTAAAAAAAAATCCTACAAATTGAAATGTTATCTTTATGAGAATCTAGTAAAAACAAATGGCCCTATCTTTTGGCAAAAATGCTTCCCTGTTGTAACGGTTCTATGATTGTCAAAGACAATATGATAATGATAGAAACGTTTTATCACTAGATATATAGTCTTTGGAATAGACTATATTCCACAGTTAAAATTATCCTATTATAATGTCTTTGAAGATTGACACAGCCTGGAATACTTTATTTACGTCCCCTACTGATTTTTTTCCCAGTGGTTTGAAGAACGTGTTTGATTATTTCACAAATACCATACATACTGATTTTTACCACTCATTTAGTATATTCTAATTTAGCTTCCTTTCAAAGATGGTACCTGCCCTGCACAGATGAAATAATAATCCATACAATATATGTTCACATTGCAGTTCATCAAACAAATACCATATTTATCAAACAATTTCCTAAATAGCAATGGCAACAGCAATAGCACTTAGATTTATAGTGCGGTTTACAACCCTCTCTAAATAGTTTACAGAATCAATATATTGCCCACAACAATCTGGGTCCTTATTTTACCGACCTCACAAGGATGAAAGACTGAGACAACCTTGAGCTGGTGAGAATCGAACCACTGGCAGTCAGCAGAATTAGCCTGCAATACTGCATTCTAACCACTGTGCCACCATAGCTAATAATCAGCATCACTAGCAAATAATCATGGGAAATAGAATTTTGTGACAGTGCTGAGATCTTTAGAGGATTCTTTCTTTAGGAGACATGATAATTAAATTAAACTAAAACTAATTTAAATTTAGAATATAAGTATAGTCACTAATCTGCAGGATCTGCTAAAAATGAATTGAGCATAACAATGTTCAGTAAAAATCATTGTAATTTTTACAGTGCGTGATGTAAAAACAATGCTGAATAAAAGTGTTAAAGTTGAAGTGCATCACATCTGGAGGACAGCAAGTTAAGTAATGGTGAGAAATCTGAGAAATGCAGATGTGGAAACTGAAAGTATAACTTGCACCATTGATCATGCTAACTTAAGTACAACTTTGGAAGACTATAGGTTTCCTGCCTCTGGTTAAGGGAAGATAAACTGGGATGTCCAAACCATTGCAAGACTCATTCAACTCTAGAAAAGATTCAGAGAATAAATGAAATTTTCTTGTTAGTTTTCTTGTAAGAGGCCTGCATAAGAGTCTCTGTCTAAAATTGCTGCAAAATTATGAACTGATTTTCATTTTGCAGATTCCCTAAAAAAGCAGCCTGAATATCAAGTTATTTAGCATACCTGGAGTAGTCAGTGGTTCAGATTCAGACCTAAAAAAAAAAAAGAACATCAGGTCTGTGAACAAGATTCATGATTTTCCAAATTGCCTAATACAGAGTTCATGTGTAATATTCAGTTCCTGCTTGAATCCCAATCCATTTCACAAAGAAATAACTCATGCTGGCTTAGTATTTGGGAGTTTCAGTACAAATGCACTAAGACATAAAGCCAAAAAAAAAAAAAAAAAGGTTTACTAGAGGCATCCTGTGAAAAGACTAATTGATTGTAATGTGAATGTAAAGCAACCTTTTCCAACTTGGAACATTTCATTTGTATTGAAACTCCCAAATACTAAGCCAGCATGAGTTAATTTTTTTTCCTAATGAACTCAATATGCACCAATGTGCTTACAGAGCAATTGTCACCTATTTCATGGTCTGTTATTATATAAGATACTAATGATTTGCACAGTATTTTCTTTATTAGCAAAAATGTACACTTCAATGTAAAACAAGGTCAGGAATGTATATATCTAAATCAAGGAACAGTTCTATAGTCCTACATCAGATTCCAGAGACATATCATGCAGCATCTCATAAGAGTGTTAGTCATGTGTCTGCGTTGCACAGGAAAACTGTTGAGTCCGTCGCGAAATGGTAAGACACGAGAAGCAGTTGTAGTTCTCAGGAAACCTTTATTCTTCAGTTCAGCTTACATTGGAATATGGCGGCAAAAGCCCACACCTCGCAGCCTCCTTTTATAGGACTTTCC